CTTCCAATATTCAACACTCATTTGTATTAATTCATTCTTTCTCCAACCCACTTTCTGTAGTTCAGGGCTGAGGAAACCAGACAACATGGAGAAAACCCACCTACACGGGAGAGAGGCTGGGTACTCCTCAGAAATTGGCCTGTCCGGGAGCGGACTGTCTGCTCATCATTCAGACCACTTTCCTTAAGGTAAGTGTTGGGGATGGAGTGTTGGGGAGGGAGTTGCAGTAAGTTTCAGAGAAGGCGTACTCTTCTATAGATGGATTCACTTCGACGATGTATCTCAAGTAAATGCCTCCGGAGAACTACACACGTGGAAAAACACACCCATGGGCAGGTTCTAGCTCCAAAACTGAATCATTTTATCTAGAACCCATTTACTATGGAACAAAGGAAAATTGCTTACAAAGATACGGGGAAAAAAATGTCTTTCACTGAGATACTTAATGGGAAAGATTTTTCCTAGGACTTGTAACTGAATCAAAGATAAAGGTATCTATCATCCTTATCATATTTGCAAAACTGAATTAGAATTACGTGGGGGTTAATATGTCAGTCTTTGCTTAAAATTAGTAAGAATAATTTTGAGGAAATGACGCTTCCATGTACCTGCAGACTTTTTAGGTTGAATTTTGTGACACTGCCAATGTTCGCTGTTTTTTTTTTTTTTTTTTTTTTTTTTAAAGATTTATTTATTTGTACATACAGAACTGGGGTACAGGCCAGAGACTCAGGGGCAGTGAGACAGAGTGGGGAGCAGAACAGGCAGATCAACGAAGTACACTGCTGAGGGGAGCAGCGGGCGGGTCAGGAGAGGTCTGCCACGCCATGTGGTCTCCTCCGGGGCAGGCGGGAATCGAACTCATGCGGAAGTGGCTTTAGCTTCTCAGTGCAGTGCTTTAACCCGCTGCGCCACCAGGGAGGGCCCGCTGTTTGTTTTTAATGCACAAAAATACTATTTTCCAATGAATACAACAAATCCAGTTTAATAAGTAATTCAGTCTCATTAGGATCCTGAAAAGCTCATTCATTGAGCTAAATGCCAATGTGACTGAGTCTTGTTTCAAAGTTAAGGCTTTATTTGGCCGTTTCAACTTTTCCTCATATAAGAAAAAATTATATTAGAAAAGTTTAGTCTTTGTTATTTGCAGCTCTGACTGTATTTCCAGAGAAAAGAAAATTGGATAGGGTCCTGGGCTAGACCTCAAAACTATCTAACCTTAAGGTAGTAAAATATTTCTCCCTTACCACAAAGCAAGAAACCACATCTCCCTGATACCTGGCCTCTGATAATCATTTGTCGTCGCAGCCACTAAGCACCTGTATGCAAAACCTTCACATCTCCATGATGCAGGAACTGATTGTACAATCAGGCTCTCTCCCTTCAGAGAGGCCTCAGACTCCACGAAGAGGAGTGTACACAGGAATTCCACAAAAGCTGGTCTTACAAGGCTGGCGAGAGGGGTTCTTTTTGTGAGCTTTTAAAATAATGAGAAGGAACAGAAATTCTGACAGTCCTTATCAGGAATGTTCCGTTCAGGGGGTTCTTACTGTTTTGCATAAGCTTCAAACAGTTAGGTGGTGAAGAATTTTCCAAAAGCAGGCCCACAAGGGAAGGAGTAAGCTCAGGATCAGTATAAGAAGCAAAAATGGGTCAAGTCATATTTATTTAGTCCAGAAACTTTTAGTTACTTTTAGTTTCTGGACTACCTTAGTTAAGTATATAATAAACACTCTATAGGGTTGGCCAACAGAACTTTCTGTGGTGGTGAAAATGTTCTACATTCTGTGATGTTTCGCCATAAGCCACGTTGTGAACATGCAGCACCTAAAATATGGCTGGTGAGGGATTGAATTTAAAATTTTATTTAATTTTAATTCATCTAAACATAAAATTAGATAGCCAAATGTAGCTAGGGCCTACCCCACTGCACAGTGCCTTGTTTTTCATTCTTTAAGTCAGTGGTTCTCGAGAAGAGGCAGTTCCTCCACCCCCAGGAACAATGCTTCATTTGGAGCTGTTGAGGTTGTCTTGTCCTACTAAGGGTAGGGGTCGGGGTGGGGGTGCTGGCATCAGTATCCAGAGATGCTACTGAATATTCTGCAATGCCTAGGGCAGCCCACAATAGAATTATCTAGCCCCAAACCTCGCAAGTCCTGAGATTAAGACACCCTTAGTTTACTCAAGGTTGGAATTAAAATAAATGTAAAACAAATCGCAATACACCTTGTCTAAACATAACATCCAGAAAGAATGTGATTTTCCAAGCAATAGGAAAAGGTCTAGGCTGTTCTGCTAGTTGAAAGTAGCAGGTTTTTAAACTGGAAAAAAGAAAAAAGAAAGGTACGAGGGTGTACTGAATAACATTAAACTTGTCAGCATCAGAGTCTGGTGTCCTTATTTTTAAAAAGTGAGTAGTAATATAAGTAAAAACTGTGAGACAATGACACAGGGTCTTTTCCTTATGAACTGGGCATAGAGTGGTGGTGGGGTAGAGACTCACTCTCTTAATTTGAATTCCTTGCCCCTGCAATGAACTTATCTGGTTTCTCAAGACATCACTGATTTCAGATACAGGAAAATGGATACTGTGACAGAAAAGCAAATCAAGACAAGAAAATGACTCTGTCATCACAGGCCCACACATTCCATGTTACCTCAAGAAAAAGCAAGGGTGCAGAAATACACGTGGACCAAAGCATACCACATTTGAGAGCGAGAGACATCACTTGACATTTAGGAGGAAGGATATCAAATAACTCTGTGGTTTCTGTAACCAGTATAAATTATGCAAGGATGAGTTTAAATGGGATCATTCAGAACAGCTCAAACAGTTCTCAAATTTATATCAGTAATGAGTTTAACCCAAAAGAGTCTATTCTTCAAAAAAAAAAAAAAACCAGGAATAATGGAAGTAATTCAATGTTTTACTTTTAATCAAAATGTTTTTTAGAATAAAAAAATCCTCATGTAACAGCAGGGCCTTTTCTTTACTGTCCATTTAGCACCAACAGAAATTGTTCATTACATGTAAGGTCCTCCACAGCGTCAGGAAAATAAAAATAAGAGACAGCACTAGCTCTGAAAAACTTACATTTAGAATTTTTAGACTGGTCTACGGCAGAAACTTCCAGCCCACACATTCTGAATTCCTAAAAGCTCACTGCAATTTTTGTGAATGTGCCAGCCTTAAGGATGCTGGAGTTTCAGCACTTTACATCTTCATTTGGAGAACTTAACATTTATGGAACAACCACTGTAATCTACTAATCCAGAAAAGTAATGTGTAAAGCAGGTTCCTACCTGTCAATCTGTTTTACAGATTTACCCATAAAGAACTAGTGGAGGAAGAAAGAACACACTGACTGAAATGACACAAAGCCCAACTGGAAAGGAAACACCGGGGAAGGGACATGGCTACCATGGCTTTGTACCCAACTACTGGTGAAACACCTGATCTCAGCAAGGGCTGTGGTCTCAGCTACTGACATTTTGCCCCATGGTACCGGCATTTCCACTGTAGGATGTTTACCCACCTCTCTGGCCTCTACCCACTTGGTACCTCCCTAGTCTCCAGCTGTAACAACCAAAATGTCTCCGGATATCCCTTAGGCAACAAAACTGGCCCTAGGTTGACAATCACTGATGTAGACTGAACCGCCAAGTACCAAAAGGCAGACGCTGTGCCAATCCAAAGTGGAAAGAGTTTATTCCTAGCCGGAAAAACCTGTGACAGTTACCACAGAGGCGCTGGAAGAAAAACATATGGAAGGAAAAACTAATCGTTTTTCTTCCTTTATTGCCTTCCGTCCACTTTATGAGAACCACCCAGAGGCAGGTTTTGTGCCATTGTGTTCACTTTAAGTCATCTGGCCTAACCTGTACAATTGCTCCCGTCAACGGCCCCAAGACCAGGGAACAAATCTACAGCAGCGGATGTAGTGAAAAAAAAAAAAAGACAACATGTTATTTCGGCCAGATCAGAATTAAAATAAAGCAGTCGCGTTCCTCCTAAATTTCATACACTCCTATTGTATGAGAAAAGAGGTCTGGCCCAAACTGGGCAGACTCCCAAGGGTGGAGTGGGATAAGGGCTTTAAAATGTGGGGTGCTGATGGCAGGTATCAAGGCGGACAACAGCACTAGTTCTCGTGGATGAGCCCGAACTCCGGGACAGTTCGAGTCCATCTCACCCGCTCGAGCATCACGCTGGTACATCACCCTGCTGTTTCCCCAAGGGGGGAACCAGAAAAAAGCGCCGCCACCAGTGGATTTCGGACTGAAACGAGAATCTCTCCTCGCCACTTTGGAAAAGAGCAGTCACAAAGTTACGGAGCAGCGGAACCCCGAAAGAAAACGCACCAGACCCTCGCGGGCCTCCGGGGTCTCAGCAGCGGTGCCCAAACTACTGCATCAGAATCACGTGGGAACGTGTTAACAAGCAGATCCCGGCCCCGCCCCCCGCGCCCCCCCAGGCTCGAACCCGCGGGCTGAAAAATCTGGATTTTTACCAAGAGCCCCAGCTGATTCTTACAAACTCCGGGGCTGGGAAAACCCTGAAATCACAGTTTTTCCTCCTAAACTCGGCGACCACAGGTAACCCACAGGTCTGCGGCCAGCTCCGAAACAGCGGGTTTTCCCCTCAGGCATTCCTGGGGCCGCAAGGTGTCAGCTCTGGCATCCGACAGGGTGCGCCGAGCTCAAGCCGGGCCCCAGGTCGGCCCCGTGGCCCCGGGGCTGGGCTCTCCGCGCTCGTCGTCCCCGACGGTGCCCGGCCCAGCTCTCCGGGCCCACAGGGACACGAGAGACTTCCGGCCCCGTGACGTGACCAGGCCCGGCCGCGAGCACCGGACAGGACGCCCTCGAGGCCAGGCCTCCTCAGCCGGGGCCCGTTAGCCGCCGGCCCCCTCCCCGGTTCCATGGCAGCTCGCGACTGGGAAACAGTCGCCCCGGAGGCGGAACCCCGGGCCGCCGCGCCGCCTCGAACCCCAGGTACAGACCTTCTCCTGGGACGCGTCCATGGCTGAGGCGGCGGCGGAGCCCGATGGAAAGCCGGCGGTCCGGGGCGCTACTTCCGCCTCCCGCGCCCAGCCGTGGTTTCCACGCTGGCAGCGCTGACGTCCCCCGCGCCCGCGACCGGCGCGGCGGGGCGGAGACCAGGAGGAGCGGCCCGGCTGCGCCGCCGGGTGGGGAACCTGCGGGTCGCGGGAGGCGGGGCGGGGCCCCTCGCGGTGGGCGGGCCCTTCGGCTTTCCGTACCTGGGCGTCACGCCGGCCGGCCCTACGTGCCCAGGTGAGAGGGGGAGCGTGGGCGGCAGAGCCGCGCCGAAATCTGTTCAGAAAGCTGTCGAAGGCCTCTAGTAGACACACGAAGTTATAGATTATTTATATGGGACTAACATCTGAAGGTTAGGTAGCGCTCCTGTACTTCCAGGCCGAAACTTCCAAGTTTCCCCCACTGTCCCCTTCCTTCAGAAATGGAACAGTCCATGCATGTCAGGGGCGGGGCTCAGGGGCGCCCTGCGCTTGCGCGGAGCTTGCTTTTCTAAGCGCTTGGAGGTTTGCGCCTGCTAATGTTGGGCTCCCCAAATGAAGGCTTATCTGAGGCGCGCTGATTAGCTCTGAAATCTTTACTGCAGAATTCTAGGTGAAAATCCCTGAGACAGCTGAATCTGCTGTCTCCTTCCTGTGAAAGCACAATTATGACCTGTCAGGTGATGGGTAATAATAATAATAATAAGCAAGATAATAATAAATAGGTCCACTGCTGCTCTTCCGTTTATAGTACAGCATCTCTGTGACGTCGAGATCATTATTATCCACACTTCCCAGTGCCAATCTAGGCAGGACTCAGACCCAAGCACACCTACCGCAGCTCCTGTACACTGCATCTCCTGCCTGCTTCCACCCTTTCTACAGGAATGGGAGAGGGCGTGCATTTGCTTATTATAGTCCTCCTGTGAGGAAAACGGAAATAATCTACCATGGGTGTTGTCAATATAACACTCATCTCCAGAAGACCCAAGAAAGTACAAACGCGAAATCTATCCCTTTTTTCTCCTGTTATACACATTTCTTCCAAAATCTGCAGATAACTGAGTCTCATTTTCAGTGTAACATATTTTGAGCTTGCTAACTTGAATTGGTAAAGCCCTTGTTATTTTAATAAAGTTGTTTTCTACCAAAGAAACCCCTAGTGTGCCGGATTAGATTATATCACGGGAACTATTCAATTGTCTAAAGATGTATGCCTTCAAAGAACTGAAAATTGAATGTATCTCTGCTTGAGCAAAACAAGTCACTTTCTTCAAAGTGTTACTATGAAGATGTTCAAGCATTTAGAAAAATTGAAATAATTGCACAGTGAATATCAATACCCACTGCCTTGATCCTATAATTAATATGTCCCTATATTTGCTTTATTACATAGGACTCCTTCCATAAAGCTTGTGTTTTGATACATTTCAAAATTGCAGACATCATTACATTTCACCCCTGAACACTTCAGCATGGACATCATTAAACATCCGCAATTTCTAAAGTCTCCTCCAAGTATCTCTGGATTGCATTACAGAATAGATTGTACAAAACAAATATGAGAGAAATGAAAGATCTATCTTAAAGGTAGACTTTTAAATTCAACTTGAAAAAGTGGGAATAGTTGCAACTCTGCAAATCTGGACTCTTACCTGGACAAGGTACTTCATCTTATGGTGTTAAGTTTGTAAATTTGGTTATACTTACCTTTTAGTGTTCTTTAAATATTGCTATGCTTTTTACATCAACAAACAAGGATTCCATTTGTATAGTTTGCTTATACATATGGTCTCAGTTTTCATCAAGCACTTACCACCAACCCATTTCAATCCAGCTTCTGCTGCCCACTCTACCCAAAAAGTTCTCCTGAAAATCATCTCAATCCATTTTACTTGACATCTCAAAGCTGCATTGTGTCTAGATAACACTGCTTTTTTAAAACCATGACTTTGCTTACTTCCTAAGTAAACAAACTCTCTTGATTGTCCTCTTCTTTTTTTGAAAAAAGATTCACTTATGTATACAGAATTGGGGTACAGGCCAGAGGTGTGGGGTGGGGGTGAGAGAGAATTCACCAGAGAGAGTAGGAAGCACAACAGGCAGACTGAGGAAGTACACTGCGAAGAGCAGTGGGTAGGTCAGGAGAGGACTGCTGTGCCCTGTGGTTGACCTCCCAGGCTGGGCATAGAACTGGAGTGGTTGAAGCTAGTTTTGTAGTGCTGTGCTTTAACATTTAGCACTGTCAGGGATGGCCCCAATTTCTTCTTCTTTCTCTGCCCCCTTTCACTCTCTGCTGGTGTTTCTTCTTCCTCTATCCAAGTTTACTCATTGTATTTCCTCAACACTCAGCCTGAAGGCCTTTGCTCCCCTCTTTCTACACACTTACATTATTTCACTTAACACCTATACCAACATATTTCAAACTGAGTCACCTTATCAGTGAGTTGTGAAATCACTTTAGTGGGTCATGATTATCACATTTAGAAAAGTGAAATAGCAGAGGACAGTCAGAAATAATTAGGAAAAAACTAAAGTCCACCAACAGGTGAAGAGATAAGCAAATTGTAGTCTATCCACCTAGTGAAATACTATACAGCAATAAAAGGGTTAAATTACTGATCCATGAAAGATCATAGGAATCAGCAAACATTATCTCCAAAGGTAGGGAATATTTTAGGCTTTTGAAACCAGTTAGTCACTGTCACAGCTACTAAATTCTGTGCATCATGGATAAGAACCCAATAACCTAGGTAATATCTACGAAAGTACTGATTGCTATATTCTGGTACAATTATTTATTGAAAAACTGAATTTTGCATTTAACATTTTTCTATTTATTGAATAAACTGAATTTTGAATTTCATGTAATTTTCATGTCATGAAATTGTCTTCTAATTCTCCTCCTCCCCAACCACTTACAAATGTAAAATCATTCTCAGTCATTGGGCCTTTGCATAAATCTGCTTCACAGTCTGCAGTTTGCTAACCCATGTCTTAATTGAATCTTAAGAATATTAGACTGAGTAAAAGAAGCCAAGTATAAATGAATATATTTACCATGTATACTGTATTACTCCCTTTATATTTATATCACATAGGTTTTAGAATTTTCAAACTAATCTACAGGAACAGGGAAGGGGGGGGCAGGGGTTGATGGTATTGACTGCACAGGGGTTTTAGGAGACTTTTGGAGGTGACAGAAATGTATTTTAATACAGAATTATACACCTTTATCGAAACACCCTGAACTGTATATGTAATCTGAGTGTCTTATTGTATGTAAAACACGCTTCAATAAGGTTGATAACTTCCAGCTCCATAATATGTGGTGAGGAAAATTGTTTCTGAAGCGTCTGAATTTATAGCGTGCAGTGACTGCTGGAATGGGCCCCTTCTACCCTAAACAGGGCACCCTGACTTTCTTCAGCACTGCGCATTCACCATCATCCACGCAGTGTGTCCGCCGGGGGCCCTGCAGTTTCCTCTCTCATACTTGGCTTGGTCCAACCTCTGCCATTCAGTGTTGGCCTCCGCTACCTCTTAAGTTCTCAAAGCCGTCCACCCCTCTCTCGCCATTGCCTTGCCTTGCCTCACCATCATCTTCATCATCTAAACAGTCAAGACACTCTTAACACAGAAGCAAGTGTTTTTCTTTTCTATACTTGTTATAGAATTTCGTTTAAAAAAGTAAATGGTCCGTGTTCTATGTGTTAATTCATCACCTCGGGGCCCTGTGAACAGTTGTCCTTTCGCCAGTGGACTCATTCTACGTTTGGTCAGTAGAGGGCGCTGGAGAGACATAGTGGAGAGAAAGGCTTTGCTTCCAGGTTCTGGGTGGTAGCTTCCCCGGGCTCCCAGCTTTTCTGAGCATAAGGAAAAACACATTCTCAATACTCTGAACACTTGACTGCAGCACTATACTGCTGACACCCAAAGGGTGGGTTTTCCATTCACCAAGCAATTCTGAGACATCAGCCGGATGTCCCACAATTATTGAAGCTCAGTACTGACAGAAGCTACCTGGAAATGTCAGATCCCACCTGTTAAGGTGCCAGGCCCACAATACTGTCCTCTTCCACGTCAGACACCAACGGTAAGAGCAGCTTGTCAACTTGTGCTTCTAGCCAAGTTGCTACCAATTGCACGCTCTAAGACGTCCCCTAGAATTCAGCCAATTTGCTAGAGTGGTCCACCCCACCCAAGTGCAAAAAGCATTTCACTTAGGCTATCAGTTTATAAGGAAAGGATGTAAGTCAGGGGCAGCTGGATGGGAGAGAAGCATAGGGAGAGGCGTATTGGAAAACTTGCTGAGTTCCCATGCCCTCCTGGGCACCCACAAGTTCACCAAACCCAGATGCCTTCCAAGCTCCCATATTCCGAGCTTTATCAAGGCTTCATTACAAAGGCCGCCTTGATTAAATCACCTACGATTGGCTGATTCATCTCAATCTCCAGCCCCTTGCCTTTCCCTGGCAACCAGCCTCTAGCCTAGCATCCCAAAGTTGTGTTAACATCAACGCAGGTCTGGTTGGAAGGGATTTGTAATGAATAACGCAAAACACTCCGATCAGCTTTAAGATTCTGGGCCATTTCAGGAATGAGGACAAAAGATCAAATGCTATTATGAAAAAGACGCTTCCATTGTCTTGTTGCTTGGGAAATTCCAAGGGTCTTTGGAGCGCAGCTACTGTTTTTTCTTATAAATCACAATATCACACCCTGGCTCTTCCATCCAGGGTTTTTTGTGGCTGAGAATAGTCAGTGAAACACCACCCCAGGAGAGGCTTACCCAGAGAACCAACCAATGTTCCAGCAAAATCCACTGGCTGCCGGGGGCATTCCAGCAAGTGGCTTCTCTAACATTCATTGAGCCAGTTCTGAGTCCTCCAAGTCAGGACCTCAGCCCTGGGGATGTGGAAGTTCCTTCTTAGGGTGCTGTCTCAATCCTAGGCTTAGACAGTGTTCAAGCACCAGGGGGCCGAGTTGGGACCCTCATTCTATCCCGAAAAACTGACTTGGCTGAAGTCTCAGCCCTAGTATAGGAGGCCCTGCTGGCCATCCCAAAGGCTCCAGGGTTGCAGGGCTCAACAGAGAGGGAGGTGCCCTCCCTGAAGGTGCATAGGGTTAAAGCACAGCACTGTGAAGCTATCCGCAGCCACTGCAGCATGAGTTCGATC